TCATTTGGACACCATACACTGGCCATAGAGTCCATTGTGAGTTCGAGGAATCGTCGTTATATTCAGGTTATATGCGGTGGGAGACCATGGTTGCTAGAAACTTTCCTGAGAGGTGTCTACGATAGTATGGCTATGTTCATAATATTCCACAACCAGTTCCAAATATACCAGCTTCATAGATTGACTGGTGGTTTCAAAGTAACTTCGTTAGCTCTGGTCGTGCCATTAGAGGTCGAGCCATCACTGTTCAACACCCCTTACAGTGTGAGATGATTATTTAGAGTGGTACCTCACTGTATCACACCCTCGCATCACCCCACCTCCAACTGATGCAGTCGGGCCTTCTGATGACCGGGTACCTGTTGATGACGTGCCACCGTCGCCTCCTCCAGCAGATCATGCCGACGACCAACAACACCTCCATATGATTGTAGTTATTATGGATAACCTCATGGTTTGGTAAATCCAGATGATGAGGTTTATACTGGATTAGCTCGGGCTGCACACATAGCCCGTGGAGGGCCTATTTAAGTATATTTTGTATTATTTTTATGAGTTGTATATTATTCAGACATCTTCTTCATACAAATTTAGTAGCTAATATTATTGATCTTTCTTAAATTGCAGTGTGAACGTTAACTATCATATGACAATGGATTGCATAACTTAAATAGAAAAAACTTAACACTATAATTTGATTAATAAATAAGAAAGACCTAAAAACTGTCAGACGCTTCAGGACGTTTCAACATCTCAATTATATCGTCAATGGATCTTGAAAGCTTAGCATCTAACTCGATTGACCCCTTTCTTATCCTACAGCGAAATGATTTCCACATTTCCTTCACATCGTTGTTGGTCTTCAACTCAATAAGATTGTATTTCACCCTCCCGTTAGTATCAATCCAATCTTTACGAAACTTGATGTTTTCGCCATCAGACAACAACTCATTCAATTTCGACGTCATGCCACAAGAGATGTGGTGCCATCGGGAAGCCGAAACTCTACAGGAGGAGAAACTCCGTTGAAGTACACTTCTGCCTTAATCAAAAATTGAAGAGGCATTTTTGAGATGTGTTTATCAACAACATGTGACCCCTATTTATACAACTTTGTATCTATTTTGGACCATACAAAATGTCGGTGTAATCACACTCATCCAAAAACTGTTAGCAATTTCATCCTAAGTGAAATTTCCGATATCACCACGAAAATTTCAAATTTCTAAAATATTTTTCACATTACTGAAAATTCCTATCGAAAATTTTATATGAACTACTAGAAATTTTACTCTATACCAAAAATTTTAATATAACTACCGAAAATTTCGTATGAAAAATTGGTGTATTTTTATCCAAAAATAATTTTAGAATTACAAAAATTAAAAAATATCGGATTTAATTTGGAGGCTGGCAGATTAAATCAACTTAGAGTTTCTTCTTAGTTTTTATTTTAAAACGTTAGACTCTTTTGTATAAAAAACGTTATAACACACATTGATCCAACAATAAAATTTTAAATAAAATATCAGTCATTTATAATATTTACACGGCTCTCTATCCACATTTGTTGATAAACCAATATTGCACTCGTCACGTTAACTGAATTTAGACTTTTTAATGAGATATTGAATTTAAACCTTGCAGATAAATGAATTGTGGTTAATTTTGTTTTTACTTAAAACCGTCAACTAAATATCTCTATGGATATTTGTCATAATATATGAAAAATTCACACATATTACAAAAATTGTAGGAAAATTCATATTTCATTCCTAAACAAAATAGAAACATGACAAAAAAATTTGCCTTTATTTCCTTGTTTTGCTTGATGTGGGAAATAGAAAATTAGGCAAAAGACCTTTCTTGTGCTCATATAATTGGCTCATAATTCTAATCATGTGTTGAAACTCTTTGACTGCATACTTTGCAATGTTTGTTTTTTCTCTTTCTTTCTAAAGTTGCTATGTTACTCTATGGAACACAATGTACCATTATTTTATTTAATAAAATTGCAATATGCAAGGATCATGCAAATCCACTCCCATTATATATCTATGCTCCCAACAACCAATCTACCAATCTGTCCCATACATAAACTAATCAAACCCATGCGTGAGTGCAATGGCTTTCAGATAAGTAAAACAAATAATATTCAACCCAAAAAGTAAAACAAATAATAAAATTTGAGGATAAATTTGCAGTTATTATTTAAAAAATCTCAAGTCTACATTACTTGCAAATAGAGTCTGGGGAAGTAATTTATATAAATTGACCTCCCATGTTTTAAGTTGGTTTTGTAAAACTTTGGTGCTGTCAAGACTTTAATTTTCATGCAGATTAAAAAAAATAATGAGAAAAAATGATATTTTTACGAAAGTACTCTTATAATGTATTGAGAATGATAAAAGTAATATTAATTAAAAGATAAAATTGAAAAAGATATATTAAAAATTGAAATGAATCATTCATTTTGGGACATTCTTTTATTCCAAATGAATCACTCATTTTGGGATGGAGGTAGTATAATATTTATAGATATTTCAATTTTTTTAATCATTATAAAGAATTAACGTCTACATCTTAATGAATTATTGGTGGACAATATGTATAGGAGAAGACGATATTTATTATAGCCTGAGTGTCAATGAACCATTTCTTCTACATTAAGGGCCTCACATCTAAAGGGTTAGTTCCTTTCTCATAGTCTAAGCTCTACTAGAAGGTTGTCAAGTTTTTCTTCATTGACATCTCAATTAGAGTCAGAGAATCCATAGGAACGGCGTAGGTATGAGGTTCTCAATTAAAGTGTCTACAAGCCTTACTTTTTTAAATTTAGTCGCCATAATTAACTATTCTCATTCGGGAGAAATCAAGCATCACAAACTCGTCCATGAAGGTGTTGCAAAAGACGAGATGGCCCCCCGGAGTACAAGGGCGCACCAAGAAGAAACAATATTTGAAGTCTTCATAATTCTAGAATAGTCACTAAATTTTTTACTTTTTGCCGCAGTAAATCAACCGTTGATCTCGAAGCTTGTCTAAAAATGTACACTCCAAGGTAAATAGGTGGAAGAATATGTTCAGGGACAACTTCCAACCCCGATACTCACACCAAAACTAGAACACTTTCACAAAACCTCGGGCATTGGGCTGTAGTTAAGAGGGTTAAATCTTCAAATGTTTCAACACTCCTACATTAAATTCATTAAAAACAAGTTTGAAATGTATTGAGTAAATAGTAACTAGTAAAAAAGGATTGCATACCCATCAAAGTGACACCTGATCTTCTTATTACAGTCTACTAGGACGACTGCCCAATCAAGGTGAAAACTTACTTCTATGAGAGCATTTCCCACTTTGGTCACGCTATAAAAAACAAATGTTGTCCTTAGCAATATGTGGTCCATCTAATGATACTAATTTGCATCAGTTGGCTCTCGAGATGGAAGACTTGTTTAACCTTTAGTCAGTAGGCAGTTTCAACTAAACACGTTCGTCAAATTCAGAAGTTCAATTTTACGCTGGATCTTAGCCTTTCTAAGATCATAGTCTTGTGTACTTCTAGATGAATTAATTAAATTATGAAGTATTTGCTCATCCTGGATGGAAATATCCGCAAAGGGTAAAGGATTGACAGAGGGGCGGAAGTCACTAGCGATCCTCTTTAGAAGTAGGTTTTCAAATCAAACATCACCAGCAAATTTCTCAGCGCACCCATCAGAGAACAGGCTAGAAGACTCATTATAATATTCTCCCCAAAAATAGATTTGCTAGAAACACCATTGGACTCGGAACTATTAGAGATAACCACTAGACTTGAATTAAGTTGAATATACGCTCTAGAAGTAGTAATTGAATCATTTAGGGTTTCAACCCTACAAATGAAGAAAGGTCGCCATCGACAAAACTACTTTCCAAATTAGTAGGTTGATCATTCGTATAGGTCATTGCAAAGATAAAGGGATATAAACTATAAAATATAAGTCAAGAGTTGAAAAGGGTACCTAGAAACGAAGGTGAATTAAAGAGGAGAGGGCAAGTAGAGAAGAATGAAAGACTGAGGAAGACTTAATGAGCACACTGCTTCAATAGAAAAAAAGGGCATCATAATCGGGGATCGTCAGAAGAGGAAAATATGGTTTCTTAGGAGTTAAATATGCTTCAATTAGTAATGAGAGTAAAAGTCCATTCAAAAAGTTAAGTGACTATTATATAGGAAAGGGTGAATCAAGCTAGCAACAATCTAAATGAAAAGAAAATGGGAAGACGAAAAGCAATAGCTAGATTGCGCCTCAGAAATAGCACAACGTCAAACTCTAACATGCTAGCCTACAACCACATATATAAAATTCACGCAAAAGGTCCTAATGATCAAAAGAAAAGGCAGTTAATGCGCCAGATCCCCCTCTTCATTGGCTAAACACATCCATTTTTGTCTACGGTCAACTTGATGGTGTAAGGCCGACACGTATTCTTGAAGACTTCTCTTCAATACCTAACAACAATCCTTGTGAACAATTGTTTCAAACCGGTCAAAAGCCCAATAAAAAGATATCCGCTTACTCAATCACGAGTCCAACATCACGAATCAAACATAATTCTGATTTCAATTCGGAACACCTCTTGGTCATTTTTAGCTAATAGTATTTAGGTTTTATATTTAAGGTGAATTCTTATCTATCCATTTCAAAAAATTGAATAGAATTATCCATAAAATAAACTAGAATAAATAAAATTGCATTAAAAATCTAGAAATTATATTTAACTAGTTACACACAATTAACACACGAGTGAATTGCTGAAATAAATCACCGCCCAATCCTTCCAAAACCTTTGACTCCGACACTCTGTTCATGTTTCCGTGTTTGGCTTTTCTGCATGCATGTTACATTTTCTATACATGTATGAAACCAATTCTCAATTTTCAACTCAGAACCCACCCACCACTTTCCTCACTCTTATTACCCTACTCACCCAACAAAATCTCCGCCACCGGCATGTCCACCGGACCACCTCCCCGTCACGTCTCACCACCGTCCATTTTTCTCACCACTCTCTTTCTCCTCTCCCTCATTCCCCTCTCTCACTCAAACGACCTTCAATCTCTCCTCAACTTCAAATCCTCCGTCCAAACTCCCAATCCAAACATTTTCACTTCATGGAACCATTCAAATTCACCCTGCAACTTCACCGGAATCACCTGCAACTCCAAAGGCTCCGTCACAGAAATCAACCTTCCAATGAACAATCTCACCGGCACTATTCCTTTTGACTCATTATGCAAACTTCAATCTCTTGAGAAAATCTCTTTGGAATCCAACTTTTTGAACGGAACCATAACCGAAGATTTGAAGAATTGCATAAACTTGAAGTACTTAGATTTAGGTGGAAACTCATTCAACGGAACAGTACCTGAATTTTCGTCTTTGAACAAGTTAGAGTACCTAAATCTAAATCTAAGTGGAGTTTCTGGTAAATTTCCATGGAAATCATTGGAAAATCTAAGAACTCTCACTTTCTTAAGCCTTGGTGATAACTTATTTGAAAAAGCTTCTTTTCCTTTGGAGATTCTAAGCCTTGAGAATTTGTATTGGCTTTATCTAACCAATATCAGCATCTTCGGAAAAATCCCAATTGGTATTGGAAATCTTACACAGCTTCAGCATTTTGAGATTTCTGATAACAATTTATCTGGTGAGATTCCTCATGATATTGGAAAGCTTAAGAATCTAAGGCTACTTGAGATATATGATAACAATTTGAGCGGAAAAATCCCGTTTGGATTCGGTAATCTTACCAATCTGGTTCAGTTCGATGCTTCGAATAATCGCCTTGAAGGTGATCTTTCTGAGATAAAGTCGTTGAGAAATCTTCAATCCTTGCAGCTTTTTCAGAACAGATTCTCCGGAGAGATTCCACAAGAGCTTGGTGATTTTAAGTATCTTACGGAACTTTCTCTTTACGATAACAAACTCACTGGTTTTCTTCCGCGAAAGCTCGGTTCTTGGATTGGAATGGAGTACATAGATGTTTCAGACAATTTACTTTCTGGTCCTATTCCACCTGATATGTGCAAGAACAATCAAATTACTGATATAGCACTTTTGGATAACAGTTTCACAGGAAGTATACCAGAAAACTACGCGAATTGCACTGCTTTGGTTCGTTTTCGGTTAACAAAGAACTCTCTTTCAGGTGTTGTTCCTAAGGGTATATGGGGTTTACCAAATTTGAAACTTTTTGATCTTGGTAGGAACCAATTTGAAGGTTCAATAGGTTCTGATATAGGAAAAGCTAAGTCTCTAGCTCAGCTTTTTTTATCTGATAATCAATTCTCAGGTGAGTTACCTTTGGAAATCTCTGAGGCTTCTTCTTTGGTTTCGATTCAGTTAAGTTCGAATCGAGTTTCTGGTCACATACCGGAAACTATAGGCAAGTTGAAGAAACTAACTAGTCTTACTTTGAATAACAACAATCTTTCTGGTAATTTACCTGATTCTATTGGTTCTTGTGTTTCTCTTACTGAAGTAAACCTTGCTGAAAATTCAATTTCGGGTGTGATTCCGACTAGTATTGGTTCTTTGCCTACTCTTAATTCGTTGAATTTGTCCTCGAACGAGTTTTCTGGTGAGATTCCGTCGAGTTTATCGTCTCTTAAACTTAGCCTTCTTGATTTATCAAACAATCAATTTTTTGGTTCTATACCAGACTCACTTGCCATTTCAGCTTTCAAAGATGGTTTCATGGGAAATCCTGGTTTATGTAGCCAGATTTTGAAGAATTTTCAGCCATGTTCAGTGGAATCTCGCGGCTCGAGACAAGCTCGAAACCTCGTGTTCTTTTTCATTGCTGGTTTAATGGTTCTGATTCTTTCATTATCATATTTCCTCTTCATGAGAATTAAACAGAAGAACAAGTTCGAGAAGCAAGTGCTTAAGACTAATTCTTGGAATTTCAAGCAGTACCATGTGTTAAACATCAATGAGAATGAAATTATCGAAGGAATCAAAGCCGAGAATGTGATCGGAAAAGGAGGATCAGGGAATGTTTACAAGGTTGAGCTAAAAAGCGGGGAAGTTTTCGCTGTCAAGCACATATGGACTTCAAATCCAAAAAATGATTATAGAAGCAGTTCAGCAATGCTAAAAAGGAGTTCGTGTTCGCCCGAGTATGACGCCGAGGTTGCAACTTTGAGTTCTGTAAGGCATGTGAATGTGGTGAAGCTGTATTGTAGTATCACAAGTGAAGATAGTAGTTTGCTGGTTTACGAGTTTTTACCGAATGGGAGTTTGTGGGATAGGTTGCATACTTGCAAGAAGACTCAGATGGGGTGGGAGGTTCGGTACGACATAGCATTGGGTTCGGCTAGAGGTTTGGAGTATTTGCATCACGGTTGCGATAGACCTGTTATGCATAGGGATGTTAAATCGAGTAACATATTGCTCGATGAGGAATGGAAGCCGAGGATTGCTGATTTCGGACTCGCGAAGATCGTGCATGGAGGAGCTGGTAATTGGACTAATGTCATTGCGGGAACACTCGGCTACATGGCTCCTGGTAAGCCTCGATTTTGATTTAACACATGTTTGTATTTCGATCGATGAAACTTGTTAAAAAACAATTAGTCCTTTATAACTGTATAGCTAATATACTTGAAATCGATTCGTGTTGATTTTTTATTACGACAGAATATGCTTACACTTGTAAGGTGACGGAGAAGAGTGATGTTTACAGCTTTGGCGTAGTACTGATGGAGTTGGTAACAGGGAAGAAGCCGGTGGAGCCGGAGTTCGGAGAGAATAAGGATATTGTAAGTTGGGTATATAGCAACATTAGGAGCAAAGAAAGTGTACTTGAAATGGTGGATTATACGATTGCAAAGCATTTCAAAGAAGATGCTATTAAGGTGTTGAGAATCGCGATTTTGTGCACGGCGAAAGTTCCATCTTCGAGACCATCGATGAGAATGTTGGTTCAAATGCTGGAAGATGCTGATTCATCTGCTTCATCAAAAGTTATTGTCGCCATAGTTTAGTTAAAGATGTTACAACAAAAAATGTACACCAGATCTCATCAGAACTTACAACAACTAAGTATGTTTAGGCGAGAGCAAATAGTTTTATTTAATATATATAAGATATTATCTTGTATAACTTTATCACTAACAAACATGATAAAATTCTAAGGAGATTGTTGCCATAGGTCTCATCACCTTGCAAGTCATCAATGACTTGTTTTTCAATACAATTAATTATAATGTCAAATGGATGAAGAAAATTTCAGTTTCATATACCAAAGAAAAACAAATGAAGTGGTTGACTCATAAATAGCTAATACAATTGGTCACATGTGAATAAATGAACATTGTCTATAAATTTCTATATAGGGTCCATCATCTTTGTCGGCTGTCAAATAAGAGTACCTCAAACTAAAGATAAGATAAATAAATGGGTAATGTTAACTTGTGCCCTTGGGGCACATGTTAAGTGATAAATATAGTAAAAAATTATTGGAAATTGTGTTTTAAATTTAATACAAGTTATGTTTTAAATTTAATACAAGTTAAATATTAATGATTTTATTGCTTTTTTCAATACTTATTTTCTATTTGTGGATTTCTTAACATGTGCCCCAAGGGCACAAGTTAACATTATCCTAAATAAATAAGAAAGAAAATTAATAGAGAAGTTGGACAAGTATTTGGCATTAAGGTGGATGCAGGAACTCAACTTGGATGATATGATTTTTTAGTTAGATTTAATGGTAGTGGTCGAAGATATGTTTTTTTTTAAGTAGAAAAATAACTCTCAATAGTAACTTATTTGTCTTCAAGCTTAATAAAGCTTTTTATTTTGTGTTGTTTTTTCTCACTATTCTATAAAATAGGGTTTAATACACTTTATCACAAAAGTTATTGGGGGCCTAATGTGATAGTTATAAAGTTCAAATGCAACGTATAATGAGTTTTACTATGATTTGAAATCCCGTCGTTATTACATTCCAATGTGATTACAAACACTAACACAATTAGGGCTCGCCTTAGTGCCAAACAACCCAAACAATATCTTTACTCCTAAAATTGACCTTAAAATTTTGGACTAAAAAAATCTTAAAAAGTTTATATTTAGTTATAAATATATAATTTGTAATATTAATTATATTGATTAATATTCTTTTTCATCCTTATCTTTGACTCGAGATCTAATTTGATTTCTTAACTTTGAAAAAAATTTGTAATGGTTTCAAAACTATACAAAATGTATCATCTTAGTCAATTTTATCTATTTTGTTAGTAAAAATAGAAAAGATAGTCTTCGTGGCACTGATGTAGAATTTAAAAGTAAAAAGGTCTTGTAATATTTTTTTTTTTTGTGATTTATGGAAATGTATTTACCTTATTTTTTGGAATTGATTTAGATTTCGTTGATGTAAACTACAAGAAGATGAAGATGATATTTAATGACTAATTTTGTTGTTGTTAAATCAATCACAAAAGTGTTAATGCCACACAATACTGACATAGATTTCACACATACATTTTTAACATCGTTTGAAGAAAATGGGTAGAAATGACAAAAATAGTTCAATTTATATAGTTGAGGAACAATTATAATTTTTTTTTTTTGTAAATTAAATTATTAAATTGGAACTCACATCAACTTATCCAAAAAGTAAGTTTTTTTAACTTATTACAAATCATCGTTTTAATGTGATATATTTTCACAATTGTGCATCCACACTTTGCGCTATCGGAGCCTACATTATCAAATCATTTAGCCTCGTAAAAAATATAGCTCAAACCTGCCCGAGAAATTTTACAAACCAATTGAGAATATAGAGTGTTGTCTTTAAATTTGTGTTCCAAAACTGTGATGCTCTGACCAAATATTGTTTGTATCTTATTATGCTAGTTTTGAATCATGTGGTTCATGGAGTCCCAGTCTATACACAAATCGCCCTTGCTATTTTCCAACCAAGTAGCATGGGCTGACTTAATTTTCGGTTGAACCAGATTCAAGGTCATGTTAGTAATACATTCCTTCTATTTCGGCTCGAGCCAACAGACATTAGGATGGTCGACAAATTTTAAACACAAATCATTGTTATACAAACCACATATCACATTAAATCTCCAATTTTTGTTTGCTAACATGTAACCACGCACCTTAAATAGACAATCACATTTTCTTGTACAAGTGTCGTCTCTTTTAAAATTCTAGAGAGGTGTTTTATATGTCCCGCTTCTTTCGTACACCATTGTCACAAAAGCAGATCTTCTATTCGAACCATTATCAGATCTTTCGATAACCACATCAAATCCAAGTTTAGAGGCCTCTATACGAATCCATTGAAGCATTTGATCACGAGATTCAAACTCTTGCTTGTTTTTAAATTGGTATCAACATCTACCGACTTCATAACAACACCTTGGACATTCGGAGAAATAACTTGTTTTGGAAAAACATATGAGTTCACCCTATCTAATGAAAACAATTAGAACCATAACAATACATAAGCACTACTGCTGATGACATACTTGAAAATCAAACACAAACAACTTTCAAAAATGCATCTTCAAAAAAGTTCATACACGTTTCAGAGATACATTTTCGAACACAACACAACTTTTTTTTTTCCAGAAAAGGATGATTAATGTGAGCAATGCAGAGGAAAACAACGAATCTTTACATGAAATTCTATCTTTTTTTCTTCCCTATGATTTGATGAACCAAAAGAATTGAGATTTGGAGTGAAAAAATAGATTGAGAATGGAGAGTTTTTTGGTGAAGGATTTGGTTGAAAACCAACTATGGCAACAATGACAACAATGGTTGTGTGATCATGCGACTAGTTCTTTTATCAGATATTTTCGGACATGCATCTCTAGAAACATGGAGTATTTGTGAAAATTCACGTGGTGCAGTAGAAACATCTAGGGTGCGTTAAGAAATTCTCTTCATTTTTGGTAGTCCATTAAATAATTGGGACAACCCACTTCAAAGATTTTAACTTGCCACCCCATAGTTGTATCAGACACCCCACATATTTTTATAATTTCCAAACTGTCCGTGGACAATTTTGAGTAAAAATTTAACGAAATTTCTGGTGGTTTATTGCAAATTTTCGATAATAGACCAAATTTGGGGAATAATTTTGTATGTTTTTTATATAAAAAAATGACATACTGGAATTTTCAAAAAATATGGTATTGTGTTATTTTTTTTGGTTTTTTAAAATTCTAGTAGTTCATATTAAAAAAACTAATTTTTTTTACACTATAGGAAAATTTGAAAATTGTTAGTTTATAGAAATTTCGAAAAATATTGTAGTATATTAAAAATTTCGAAATTTTTGGTAGTGTAAAAAAATTAAAATTTTTAGAATTTTTTTTAAATTCCTGTATTTTTTCAAACTTTTTTCAAAAATATTCATTTTTATCAAAAATTTCAGAAATTTCCGATATGAGCAAAAGAAATTTTCAAAAAATATTTACAAAGACATAAGGATAATAGCACGAGATATGTGGATGTGTAAGGTACAACTGTGAGAGTAACAAGTTAAAACCTTCCCACTTCAACATATTTATACATTTTGGCCTATCGAACGGAAGCGAGTTGGGCTAGCCCAACCCATTTATCAACTCTAAGGTTCGCAATTTAAAACTACAACATTATGTGATATATGTTGGAGGAGTTTACCACTAGAGAGCATTGAACATTGGGTCAAGAGCAACACAACTGAGAGAGACACCACATATTCATCCAAAACCTTAAGGTAATAGGTGTATGTGTTATCCCACTTATAAATGCGTAACTCTCCACATTTATAATCAATGCGGGACTCCAACTCGCACTTGATATATTATTCTCAGCATTCCCCCTCAAGTGTGAGTCCACAATGTTCCCCCTCAAGTGGAAACTCTTGTCCACATACACTTGTACCACCGTTGATACACACCTCTTTCCTGGGCATTTTATACACCTCTTATTGGGCATTACGATTTCAACGGAACACCTCTTCCTGAACATTTCGATACAAGTAAGCCGATTCCTTTCTCGAACCAAAGGCTCATGATACCATTTGTTAGAGGAGTTTATCATTGGGAGCATTGAACTTTGGGTCAAGAGCAACACAAGTGAAAGAGACACTACATATTTACCAAAAACCTTTAGGTGATAGGTGTATGAGCTCTGCCACTTATAAATGCTCAACTCTCCACATTTATAACTAATGTGAGACTCCAACTCACACTTGATATATTATGCTAAAAAAATATAAAGTAGGGGTGTTCGCGGTGCGGTTTGCGTGATTTTAACGTTAAAAATCATCTGAATTGTAAGAGAAAAAACATGCGGTTCAGTTTGGTTCGGTTGACTTTTAGAAAATAAACAGAACCAAACCAATGCGGTTTGGTTGGTTCAGTTTTTTACAAGATTTTTATTGAGTCATACATACACTTATAGAGAACAAGATAACTTTGTGTTTAGTCATTCATACATTACTAAATAACAACAAAACTCATCATATTTAGACAAAAATTTCTCATTCAATATACAAAAATCAGTTTAAACAAAAGTGGAAAGATATAATAACATAAAACAACATCAAAAACATTATAATAAAACATTATAATAAAATATAAAAAATAGAGGAGAAGGGAGATTAAAGAAGATAAAAAAAAAAACAAAAGAAATGTTAGATTAAAGAAGAAAAGTGCAATAAAAACATATTTAAAAGAAAAAATAGTAACATAAAAATGCCTAAAAAAAAAATGTTTTGCTTTAAATAACATAACTTTATTGAACTAATTTAAGCTAGTATCGAAAAACAAATGATCCCTAAAAAGCATTTATCTTCATAGTATAGTTATATACCAAATGTACCTATAAATAACAACAATAATGTGGAGGAGTTGGTAGACTTGAGCATCTTATCTTCTCAGCATGTAAATAGTATTTTACTAGGTTTGTAATAATCCTAATAAAACCTATATGAATGTTAACAAATAAGTTCAAAACCATGCTAGAACATTAATGCAACAAACAAAAGAAAAAACTGTATAAAAAACAACAAAACCGAAACCAAAACCCAATAACAAATGTTAACCACGGCACGATCTCGAGTTGATTCATAAATAAAGAATGAACTTGGCTTTCACTTTTGCTCCATTCTCAACTACTACTCAATTTTCACCTTCCTTCATTTTCACCACTCCAATCTCTCACCCCCAAACCAATTCTTCAGGTAAATCACCACCACTTTTTCTTCTCTATTTCCATGCTATGCGCATCTTCTAAATCTTGTTCTGTTCTCTATACATGCAGGTAGAAAAAGCTTAATTTTTCGTGTGCAAAACGTTCATAATCATATTCAGTCAACACCTACTACTACTACTACTACTGCTTCTTTCATGGCTTCACAACAGGGAATTCAACAAGTTAACCCTAATTTTTATCCAGATATTGAACCCTATAGTACTGGTTTTTTGAAGGTTTCAGATCTTCATTCAATCTATTGGGAGCAATCAGGAAATCCAACTGGCCATGTAGGTACCAATTCCCATCAATAACCTCAATTTTCAAAATTTATAATGTGATTTCTCATTTTTGTCATGAAAATACGATAATTTATTTAGTGTATGTTTGATTCTGCGGTGGAAAGTAAAATGGTTTATGTTTGGATAAATGCAAAATTGAGTTGAATTCTTGGTTCAATTAGAATCATTTCTGTAGGCGGAATCAATTCTACTTTAGAAGAACCAAACACCTTAAGATCATTAAAAAATCAATTATATATCTCTAGATTTGCCTTTGGTTCTTCCAAAAGCTGAACCAAACATACACTTAACTTATTCTTGAAATTAAAGAAATTTCAAAATTGATTGGTTCATACAAGACAATTTGAGGGTTTAAATTGATGATTTTAAAGAAACAATGTAATTGAAGAGTTTGAATTCATGGATCATTTTGGAGTTTCATTCATTTTAAGGATCAAATTGTTCAAAACCTACAATTTCCTAGACTAAATTGGTGATGAACTATTTGATGTTTGAAATAACAAAGTTTTGAACTTTTCTGGCAGCCTGTTGTCTTCCTTCATGGAGGCCCTGGAGGGGGAACTTCCCCGAGTAATAGGAGATTTTTCGATCCTGAATTTTACCGAATCATACTATTTGATCAGGTTAGTTTCCAAACTCTAGTGTGTAATAATTATCTGCATCTCTGGTGAAATTACTAATTTTTCTCTTTATCAGAGAGGTGCAGGGAAAAGCACACCCCATGCTTGCTTAGAGCATAACACAACATGGGACCTTATTGACGACATCGAAAAATTAAGAGAACATTTGGAGATTCCCGAATGGCAGGTCATCTTTCATACCAGCAAACATATATTTTGTGATTCTCGTGCAATGGTATATGATTTTATGATCGGTCCAATAAACAGGTATTCGGTGGATCATGGGGAAGCACACTTGCCCTTGCTTACAGCCAATCTCACCCAGACAAGGTGTATATCATGTTTGGATTTTCATTGCCTTCTTTTAAGTTATATAAAAATGCATAACTTTTAATATGTTTCTGTTGTTGTAGCATCACTGATGATTGTGTAGTCTATAATTAAGGAGTTTTTTTAATTTTGTGACAAGGTTACTGGCATGGTCCTCAGGGGAATTTTTCTTTTAAGGAAGAAAGAGATTGATTGGTTTTATGAGGGTGGTGCTGCTGCAATATTCCCCGATGGTATTGAACTTTTTTCTTATTTGTTTGTGTAGTGAATTGAGTTTGTTATGCAAAATAGGCCTTCCTTTTAAAACATGAAGCTTTTTTTTTTACTTGTTTGCTATATCGAATAAGCCTGGAACTTCAACTTTGTTTGGATTTATGGAATCGGATGGAGCAGAGCGGTATGAAATAGAATGAAGTGGTATTCCATTGTTTGCATAGTTTAAAATCGGATGAAATGGAGCAAACTTAAGTGATATAGATTTCATTCCATTCCATCAGTTACCACCATATTTCTTCCCCTCCGATTTGGGCGGAATGAAGAAGTTGTCTTGTTCTGTCCTAAAATTTCCAAATGATGGAATGAAATCTTCATTCTGATCCGCTCCATTCCTTTTCATTCCACTCCGCTCCTTTCCATTCCGCTCCGTTTTTTTTATGATATCCAAACATATCCTTCAGGTTGTATGAGCTTCTTTGCACGCAAGATTTGCACAATCTCATAATTGGCTTGATTGTGATCTATGGTTGATAGTTTTTGCATTTTTGTCTAATGTCAGCTTGGGAGCCATTCAGAGATCTTATTCCAGAAAATGAGAGAGGATGCTTCATTGATGCTTATAAGAAGAGATTAAACTCTGATGATATCGAAACTCAGGTGATTATCCATATCTGGTTTCTGAGCTTGCTTTCTACCATTTCCTTCCATAATCAATTAAGGGTTTTCAGGGAGCAATCTCTTTCGTTCAATATAAAAAGAACTGGTCCTGAGTTGTTCTTTGTTTGTTTCTAGTGTCTAAATCTTCCCAAAAGAGTTTTTGTTGTTTACTTACCTATATCTCTGTTCTTAGTATGCAGCTGCTAGAGCATGGACCAAATGGGAAATGATGACTGCTCATCTTTTTCCAAATGAAGAGAATGTCAAAAGAGGAGATGATGACTACTTTTCACTGGTGAGTTCATCAAGTGATAGTTAAGCTAGTCTAATAAGCTATAGTTGGTTTATTGGCGTTGCCAAACAAAACCGCAAAGTAAGTAGAATAATAGGATTCTTTCTTTTCTTCCTTTAAAAAAATTCAAGTCTACAATCTTATCCCTGCATGATGACTTATGATTGATGTCAAGTGATATTTTTTCTATTAGGCATTTGCAAGGATTGAAAACCACTATTTTGTCAACAAGGGATTCTTTCCCTCCGATTCATTCTTGTTAGACGGTGTTGATAAAATAAGGCATATCAACACCACAATCGTGCAGGTAAATAATCACATTTTGCTGCATCCCTCAAAATTCAGATTCTTATTATTATCTTCATGCTTGACGATATAGGGAAGATATGATATGTGCTGCCCTATCATGTCAGCCTGGGATCTGCATAAAGCTTGGCCTGAGGCAGATTTTCGGGTAAGAGAGTGGTTGCTATTCAGTGTTTTTTCTGCATGTTATGGTAACTATATATGAAGTTTCACATTCTACAATGAAATGTGGTCTAGTTACTGAATCATACTATGAAACACAGGTGGTAGCCGATGCAGGACATTCAGCCAATGAACCGGGCATAGCTGCTGAACTTGTGGCGGCAAATGAGAAATTGAAAAACATACTCAAGAATAAAGGGGACTAAAGTGAGTGAACAACCAAATAGACACAAAAGACGCAGTTAGTGAGTAATCTGAAACATCCTTAGTGAGTTTTTTTGTCTGCAAAGAAATAAATTACAAATGTGTATTGCAATTTTGTAAAATTTGCCTTCATATTCTTGTGTATGTGCGAGAATTTTTATGCCAGGTGGTTTGGATCGGATTGTTCATAACTTGTTGAGTTTTATCATCGTATCGAAATCAACTCACCTAATAATGTGCCTCTTTGATTGGATCGTTCATAATTTGTTGAGTTTTAGTCATTGTATCAAAATCAACTCAGCTAAAATTGTGCCTCTTTGATTGGATTGTTCATAATTTGTGGAGTTTTTTAGACATTGTTTCGAAATCAACTCAGCTAAAAATGTGCCTCTTTGCATCGAAATCATTACATAACTTGTGTATGATTCAAATATATCTTGTGTATGAATCAAATCTAATATTCAAACTCTCTCTCTCCATCCCTCGCAAGTAGGTTACAACCACAAATATTTTTCTTTGACATTAGAAATGCACTAAGGTTTTAATGCCCCGGTGGTTTTGATCGTTCATAACTTGTTGAGTTTTAATCATTGTATCGAAATCAACTCAGCTAAAAATGTGCCTCTTTGATTGAAATATATCGGTAACCAAAGACGATTTTTTTTTCTTTTTTCACAATTATGTATCTTTTAATTATCATTACAAATCTTGTGTATAAATTAAATTTAATATTACACAAATCAACAAATATTCATCTATCTATCTCTCATAGGTTACAACAACAAATATTTTTCTTAAATTTAACACAGCCACTCACTCAATAAAATTCAATGATGATATTGAACAACACTCCTTTCACCAAACTCTACATTCATATCTAAGTTGGTTTCCTGGTGTTGCAGCTCTTGGGCACATGGATACTATGAAACTTTGGTTCCTTGGGAACAGTCAAAGCTCTCCTTCCTTGTAAACAAGTCGCGTCGTCATGTTTACTTGACTTTGCCGTTTCCTTTGGTTTTACAAGAGCTACTTTTTCTTTCTTCCTTGACAAAACACTGCAAGATCCAGTTCCAAAAACCATTATTATAACACTTTGAGATTGAGGCTTAATTATTTAAATTTCAAACTGATATATTACTCTTACCTTAGAGGTCTCACGCCATCATGTTGCATCATTTTAGATTTTCTATTGAAATTTTCATCTAGAACTATATTCTTCTGAAGTTTAGCTCCAGCATTCCTCTGAGGTGTTTTGGCAGATAATTTATGGTTCACTTTGCTGTTGGAGTTATTGTCACTGTGAATGTTTCCCTACACAATGTTTTGATTGAGGATGTTTAGCCATTGTCTCTAAAAAAACTCACATTAAGCAGTAATTCAGATGCTTAGCAATAACCCCTCATCTGCATGAACTTACAGTTTGGTGTCTCTGTGTTGTTTTGTGTGATTTCACGTCCCAGCTGCTATAACTGTCTTGATCACTTTGTGCTGTTTTGTGAGATTTTTCGTCGCAGTTGCTATAATTGTCTCGATCACTTTGTGACATATAAGTTTGATTTTTCTGAAAAAGAAAAATTTAGACATACAACGACAAGTATTGGGAGGTACAGAATGAAATTTAATCGGCTTACATTTTTATGTTTCCTTATTGCGGCCTTGTCATCTTTAGCCGTGGTATCTGTCGACGGTGAGGTGATTTTTTTCTCCAAGTTTGCTTCTTTGAGAATTCCCCTTTCCTGCAGCAAAAAACTAATAACATAAATCACACTAGATTATTGTAACTTATTTCTCTAAACTAATAAACCAACAAGAACAGAAACCCTTACTTACATCAGTTCTAAACTTAAAAGGCTTAGGATTGGTGGGCTTTAATTTTCTGTATTTTACAACATGAGAACCAGCCGTGGTCGGTGTAGATTTCTGTTTCAAGATCTTAAAATTAAGATTTTTCATTGAAAAAAAATAACATCAAAGGAACTCTAAACTAGACCAAACCTTGTATATTTTTCTATCGTCCCGCTTGCTTCCAAGAATGGCATTTTTGGAACAAACACTGTTGGTACTCATTGTTCTGCTTTCACAAAAACTTCAATGATCATTTGAAGTTTAAGAAACACAAGATAAACAGAATGAAACACATTTTGAGACAAATTGAATTGCTTACATATTCTCACTAGGTGCTGAAGAGTTTTCCTTGTCATCATCATTCTCAGTAATTTCGATCTCATTTTCTTTATCATGATAAGCCATTGCATTTTGTCCAGCCTTTCTTTTAATGACTTCAGGAATTCTTCCCTTGTTTGTGATCCTTTTCTCTTCATTTTCACTCTCTTCAATAGTTTTCTTTTCTTCTTCATTTGAACTTGACAGTGAGGTGATATCATCTCTAGAAGCTAATGACAGAGCTAGAACTGAACTCTCTCCCCTTTCTAGAGAGCCACTCCTTGATGACTGCGAGGTAATATCATTTCTAGAAGCTTCTGACAGAGCTAGAATTGAACTCTCTCCTCCTTCTATAGACTCACTCCTTGATTTTTCTTCTATCCCCATGTCATTAGAATCACTTTGCGAAACAAGAACCTTGTGTTTCTGCATTTCTTTCAATTTCTTCTCCTTTAGACATCTAACACTGTTACTTTCTAGTTCCTTTTGATTACTAGAATACAATGAATTGAACACACGGCTTTTAACCTCTCGTCCCCTGAATTGCGGCTTTCTATAGGAAGCCACTGGCAATGAGTTATCACATTCTTCTCCATTCTTCTTCACTCTGGTGAATGCAAGCTTCTTCATTGCAGAACACAATGTTTTTATGGACGTATTCGATTCTACCGAACTCTTGGTCCCAACTACCTTTGGTGAGTTGAAAACCAATGCCTTGACCTTCTTTGGTGAGTTAAAAACCAAAGACTTGGCCACTACTCTGCTCTTAGACTTAGCCACAGCAACAGTCATTGATTTCTTGTTCTGAACACTTCTAAATTGTTCCAAATTAGAAACTTTCTTTTGATTCCTTGGAGTTGTTAAGGCCTTTGTCATGGTGGGTGGTTGCTTCACCTTGGCATTTGGAGTTTCAGTAACCTTAGAAAGAGGTTTAACAACTTTCACATTATTCTCGGTTACCTTATGCGATAAGGAGGAAATGAAAGCCATTCTTGACATCCTTGGCTTTGCTGGAGCTGAAAGAGGGCACTTCAAATTTGAACTGAAAAACAACATCATAGAATTGGGTTACTTTAAAAGCTCTACTACACAAAATTTTAAGTCGGCGGAGAATCGAAGTCAAATATGTCTCATGTTTCGGAGAACACTAAAAACCTTAATGTTTATGACTAGGGGTCTACTTGAATCAATTTATTCGACATTATCTACGAGACCTATGAAGCACAAACACCGAAAAACCTAACACTTCAACACTGGTAATAATTTGAAAAAAAAATGAATAAATTAAATGTAATCACAAGCTTCGGTGTCACTTTCAGACAATGACGCAGACATACTTTTTTTCAGAGGTGTCGGTGTTACATAGCTTGAGACTATTGAAAAGCTTATAGAAACCATTTTTCACATTCTTCTAGTCGTTTCCAGCTTACGAAACACTCGAGACCTATGAAGCACAAACACTGAAAAACCTGACACTTCAACACCGGTAATAATTTGAAAAAAAGAAAATGAATAAATTAAATGTAATCACAAGCTTCGGTGTCACTTTCAGATAATGACACAGACATACTTTTTTTCAGGGGTGTCGGTGTTACATAGCTTGAGGCTATTGAGAAGCTTATAGAAACCATTTTTCACATTCTTCTAGTCGTTTCTAGCTTACGAAAACAACTTATAACTGGTATGAAATCAACTTATCTCTTATATATGTATTCAATTTAACTTTATTATATCTTTTGTTTATAGAAACAGCTTATACTTATACACTTATATGATATAAGCAGTTATATTATACTAATAGCTAAATTAAGCTGTTTATGACTAGGGGTCTACTTGGATCAATTTATTCGAGATTATCTATGGGCATTAACATTTGAGACCTATGAAGCACAGACACTGAAAAACCCGACACTTCAACACCGGTAATAATTTGAAAAAAAAATGAATAAATTAAATGTAATCACAAGCTTCGGTGTCGGTGCTACATAGCTCGAGACTATTGAGAAGCTCATGGAAACCATTATTCATATTCTTTAAGTCTGTTTCCAGCTTACAAAAACAGCTTATAACTTGTATGAAATCAACTTATCTCTTATATATGAAATTAATTTAACTTTATTATATCTTTTGTTTATAGAAATAGCTTATACACTTATATAATAAACAATTATATTTTACTAATAGCTTAATTAAGCTGATTATCTAAACATTACCTAAATTCAATTGCATTTGAAAACCATTTTCGAAACCTAAGCACTACCACTACCTACTATAATAAGAAATAGCTTGAAGAAACCATTTATTCCCTTTAAATTGTTCAGCTTATGAAACCAACTTACAACTTGTATGAAATCAACTTATCTCTTGTATATGAAAACAATCTGACTTTATTATATCTTCTATTTATAGAAATAGCTTATACACATATATGATAAGCAGCTATATTATACTACTAGCTTAATTAAGCTGATTATCTAAACATGACCTAGATCCAATTGCATTTGAAAGCCATTTTCAAAACCTGAACTCTACCTCTACCTACTATACTAAAAAACACCTTGAAGAAACTTCTTCTTCCAAAACAAGATCTTACCTTGCTTCTCTTTCTCTTCTATTCAAAGCTTTTCTGAGACGAACATTGGGACTTCTAGCCGCCATAACCTATAAAAAATCCAACACAAATTGAAAAAGAAAAAAACTCACTACAAATTACTCATTACAAATTATTCCTATATATAGAAACAAAACTAAAACCAACCCTAAGAACAAAACTCTTGTAAATAGCTTCAGAATCCAATTCTTCTTCATGCTTTTGATCACATCCTGAGAATTAAGTTCAAATTAGCAACACAAAGCTATAACTGAACCTGAAAATGAAAATTCAAACTTAATATTACGAAATGATAAAATACCGAATCTCGCGCAGAACCAGTGGCGATCATCGTCGGGATGGCGTTTATCGGGTGCGGTGAGGTCCACGAACTTCGGTGCTTCGATTTTCTCGTAGAAATTGTCGTCGATTTCGATTTCTTCTTCTTCAATAATTGGTAAGAACCGATTTTCTGCCATTACTAGTTACCAGTAACGTTTTTGTTAACAAGGGAAAGAAGAAGAAAAGAGTGTAATAAGAGTTTGGATTCTTTTGGAAGACAGAGAGTTTTAAATTCCCGTATAACTAGCCGTTACGATTCGGACAGGCTGGTGAGGTAGAGAAAAAAACGGTAATGGTAAGGAAAGGGTACTATCGTCATTCCAATATTTGCTTTAGAGCTAAGAGTAAATGTTAAGTTATGTAAGTTATAAATTTTGTTATTGAAAAGTATAAACTTTTTTGTAGATTTTTTAAAAATTAAATGCAAGAATTTCGAGATGATGTGTCTAACTTAAATAATAAATAATTTTTTTATAAATTTTTTAACCATTTTATATTGTTATTATAATATTAATGATTTTTTTAAAATGGTTAAATACTATTTTAGTATTGGAGGAAAAAAAATTCAAAAGAGTATAAATAGTCAAAGGAAATAAGAAGTTTCGGGCAACAAAACAACAACTCAACTACTTTAGACAAAAAAGAAGAAGATAAAAAACTACAACAACAAACAAAAATAAAAAATCAAAAGAAAAGGGGAAAACCAACCGATACACACCCGACAAGCCACCACCCAACAAAAACCAAGTTAGTACACAACCAACAAACTCACAACCAAGGACGAGAATCACAAGAAACACCAAAAGCCATTGCATACCAAGGGAACATGCCAGACTCTTGATCTCCTATTAGTTCAGTCGAAATATAAGGTTCTGAAGCCAATCATTGAAGGAGATGGATGTCAAATGTGATCTGCCAAAAAAACAACTTCAGGCCAAAAAGATAATCTAATTCTCCACCTCTTTCACATTTGTTGATGAATTATTAAAAGGCTTATCATTTTGACAAACTAGATAGTTCACACAACTGCATGCCAAATCATAATAAACCCACCCTTAAACTTAGCCTTAGGGCATAGAAAAAGGAAAACTGAAAAACTAATCTAAGATTCCTAGGAAGGACCAAAAGAACCCCTCACCAGCTAAAAACCTTATACCAGACACCAAAAGCCAAAGTACAGGTCACAAACAAATGGGATAACGATTCAAATTGATTCCCACAAATAGCACATAAGGTGCCCTTTAGATTAGAAATAACATTATGTTTGAATAAATTTTCCTTAGACGAAAATGTATTTCATAGAAGTTGTTAGGAAAAAAAACCACCTTAGAAGGGGCTCAACTCTCCAAATCTAAGGGAGAGTTTGGAAAACATTTTGTACAGGCTCCTCGGAGATAGTACCAACTCTAGACTAGGCATGATAAGCAAATGTAGTGGAAAATGAGCCATCTTGAGTGTATCTCCAAATCCACCTGTCAATCTCTATATTAAGATGGACATTTTAAGGATCATCTTTCTTGGAACCAAGAAGAGACAATCCTTTCCACCAAGAAGAGACATTATGATGACATAAAGACCTACCAGCACACTAGGAGGAGACAATATAAGAACCATAACAGGTAGCAAGAATATTGTGAGGGCAAGGTGCCTTAATCCTTATTTTTATGATGTCAAAACGTGTATTAGCTCGTACTTTATAATTTGGACGGTATCATTGTGTCATAGCTTGCATTCATGCTTTACAATGCACAAAATATTCTAAGGTGACATGTCTATACATATAGGAGCATCTCATATATGTTTTGTATGCATCTGATCATGTTAGGAAACTTAGGTCTGCACAAACATGGCTTAGGTGGACCAAAATATGAGTAAAAACTTGTTTTTGGAAGTTTCAGGTGTTTGAGTCGACTCAAAGCCCTGCTTAGTTCGACTCATAAAAGTTGATTTAGACCAACTTTAATGATTGAAATATGTGTGAGCTTTTTATTTATTATTGGTTGATGCATACATAACTTGAAAATTTTGCATTTTTACATGTTTACATGTCATTTTATGTTTTGTCATCTTGTTGGTTTTTATGACTTGAAGTTGTATTGAAAATTTTGGTTGTGTAATGCACTTAATTTTTGTTATATGCTTCTGGTTTTATTTATCGTCATAATCCTTGCATTAACATCATTTTATGTGGATGTTTGTTAATGTGTCTTTGTTGTAAAGTATATGATTGTGTTCATATGGATATATGTTGATTTCGCTAACCTTGTGTTTCTCTCTTTTTGATGTTGTCAAAGGGTGAGAAGAGAATGCAAGAAAAGCAGCACTTCATGTCACAAAGATAAATCATATTTCTTTTGGAAGAATGCACAAAATTAGGAGGAGGATGATTCTTAAATTACTCGATAAGTTGAAGATTTTGCAACTGTTTTGCCATCATCAAAAGGGGGGAATATGTGACGGTAAGGTGTCTTAATCCTTATTTTAATGTGTCAAAACGTGTATTAGCTCGTACTTTGTAATTTGGACTGTATCATCGTGTCGTAGCTTGCATTCATGTTTTATAATGCACAAAATATTCTAAAGTCACGTGTCTATACATATAAAAGCATCTCATATATGTTTTGTGTGCATTTGATCATGTTAGGAAACTTAGGTCTGCACAAACATGGCTTAGGTGGACCAAAATATGAGTAAAAACTCGTTTTTGGAAGTTTTAGGTGTTTGAGTTGACTCAAAGCCCTGCTTATGTCGACTCATAAAAGTTGATTTTCAATATTTTGCTCTCAGGTGTGTTCGCGTCGACCCTTTGGTCGACTCATACTGTAACCATTTAAATTTGTCATTTTGAAGCAAGCTTGCGTCGACGCATGACCCTGTTCCGGTCGACGCATAACTTAATTTTTTTTGCATAGTTTTGCATTCGGGTGTGCTCAGATCGACCCCCTCCTGCTCAGGTCGACCGTTCGCTGACTTGTGACTATTTTCTAATCTGCTATGTTTTAAAATGCTATTATATTTATTAGTTGGTCAATGCATCATATATATTCATTTTGTCTCATCATTTGAACACACAACAAGAAAAGTGAAAGATATACGCTGAATTGTTCTCATCATCTTCATCCTCATTCTTGCATTTTCTCAACAATTACACAAAACAATTTTTGTTGATCTTTTGCATCATTGAGGTGATAACATCCAAACGTAGGATTGTGTATCTCTTTTGGGTTGAGATTTCAGTGGGTTTTTCTTGAGTAAAACTGTTGGGGTTTTGTCCTCAAAGATCTTGAGGATTTGAGGGTTGTTGCACAAATCTTTTCTTCACAGATTCAGCCGAACGAAGGGGATTGAAGAACGATGGGTTCGTTCAATCAAGTAGCATTAACTAAAGTATTGTGTAAAAAAGATTTGGGTTCGAACGGTGTGTGATCGAAATCAGCCGAGTGAAAGGTTTGAAGACCGGTGGGGTTGTTTAGACAAGAACACATTCGAGGCATTTGATTCGACTTGAAAGAATAGGAGGGAAGACATAGTATCAACATCAACAATTAGGTTTGAGTGTGTGGTGACTATTGATTCTTTTGTATAAACTTTTGCAACAAGATAATGCACATCTCAATTCTAGTTTTAGAATTGGGGGCAAACGTACCCCAAGCGAGGACAAAAGGGGAACTGCCTAAACAAATCCGGTGTTGTTCTCTCTTTCTCTATCTCTTTATTTCGAATTGCTAAATTTTGGGTAATATCAATTTATCAATAAAATTATGTTGTAGTGTAGTGCTGAAAATCTGGTTCGAAAACTCATTAAAATCACTTGGATTATAATTGCAAAACTCTGCACTTTACATTACATAGGAAACAATACTTGAGGTGTTTTTCACACCAAGTATTCGATGAATTGACCGCACACAAACTGTTTGTGTTATTGTCAAATTAATTTTACACTTTATAAGTCATTGGAAATTGGCCAAACTAAAGTGGTATTATTTGTATTGATTAATCATCAAACTATTGATTCTATTTCTCATTAGATTTGTTGTTCCATTTGGCTTGTCATATATATGATCTTTTCGATAACGGTTCCTTTAGATGACTTGGTTCCTTGGCCACTTCCGCACAATTTTTAAAGACAATTTTTTAAGCGCTGAGTCTTGTAATAAATATCACATAAAAGACCAGAAGAACCCATCAGTAATCTTTATCTCTATTTGACAAGAAGGTTTAGGTTCACCACTAGAGATCTTTAACACCAATTATTCCAAACTTTTTGGGCTTACAAACTTCATACCATCTAACCCATGGAATTTTAGAAATCCCTTTCACCCCTCCTCAAATAAACCTCACTTGAATCCTAACTATATTTCCACATTTTTATCAGAATCTTAATTTTTTCCACACTTTTATGAATACTTGAAGGTAAAATAATAGAAAATAAAATGATCTTTGGTGTTTAATAGTTGAGAAAACTTGTTGGAGTTAGATTTCATTGACCTATTCTCATGTAGCATCCTTTATCAGTAGTATATTCTTCAACTTAACTATTAATATTACCACCTGTTTCTCCAATTCGTATCCCCTGTCCGTATCAACAATGTGAGATCAATGCATTACCTAATAGCTGATATCTCATTCTATTAACCAACACAAAGCATTACATTCCAACAATTATAAAAAAGCAAGACTCCACATTGATCCTACTACAATACATGCATATATATAACCTAAACCTATGTATATGCATTAGTATCCAATAGATGATGATCATGGATCTAGTAATGACAAGCAACTTTCAAATGTCAAGTCATATTATGAAAATAAGTTTTAGGTAGCAAATCTAAAACAAGCATTAAGATTAAAGAGACATCAATATTAAAGCTTAAGTAGAATTGCATACAATGTCATGACCAGGATCAAAACGTGATTACTAAGACAACTACATCTAATTTCAACAAAAGATAAATTCAACTATCCATACTCACCGTATCTTTACACTTAATCCCCAAAATAAATATGTTGAAAATCATCTATTGACGATTCCTCAAAAAACGCTTCTGTCAACAATCTCTCTATATTTTTCTCTCCTGTTAGGCTTCTTACTTCCTAATAAGAAACTACTTAATTACACAGAGGTAGGAAGAAT